CACATCTTTTAATTTTTTTACTATCAAATTTATTGGCATGGGAAAAATAATCCTGATAAGTGTCAGAAATCTCGATAACGATAAATTTTCGATTTATTGCCCAGCCCTACTTGTCACTAAGAGTTTTAGTAAAAGTTTGACCCTACAGTAGAGTTACAAATCCCGCATGTTAGTTCTAAGCTGTTTGTTTTTGTATTAGGCCTTTAAAATGCAAGTCAAGCAGCAGTCGTCTTTGGCAATGAATCTAACGAGTTGAACAATAAACATCGTGTGTGAGGTTGTTTTCTTGTGCAGCAGAATGGACTGAAGACCAGTCACACAATGCAGCAGGTACTAAATGAAGGGATAAATTATGAACATCTCAGAAACCTAAAGACTATTTTAATAGCACACCCTGAGGTTCTTTTATTTTCGAGAAATGTTTCGGGAGGAAAACATCTCAATTGCATTGGACATTCAGCTACTTAGAGGACCGGTAAGTGGAGCAGATGTGCTGAAGAATTCCTCCACACACCCTTGAATATCTTGCAAAAACATCCGTGTGTAACGTAGAATTACATAAATCCAAACGCAATCCAGCCGTGGCTGAATCTGATAGAGGTTTAGTCGATACATGCTTCTACAAGCCAGAGCACAAGAGCCCCGGACACTTTTACACAATCGATGTTTCGCAGCACCACAGTCCCGATGATGCACTCTACACTTTGTCTTACTTGTCTCCAAAACATTTATGTCCATTATGTCCGCTAACATAAAGGAGAAAAACACCAGATGAATAGTTATGCGTATTTCGTACAGAAAAATAATTCCAAAACTTGGATTTCTAGAACAGTTACCAGCTTTAAGAACAAGTCTAGCATGTGGGCTACAATGCAGCAGCTCCTAATAGTAATGCTAGGTATGCTCTCTGCTGTCAAAGCCAGAAGATTCCCTTTACAAGGACACGGCTGAGACAGAACACCAAACACCGGCTTTGGATGAGCGGTGCTTTCAAAAATAAACAAAGCCCTAAAGCTGAAGAATTATAAACACACTGTCTTGGCAAAAAAGGAAAGCCCTCCAAGCAATTTGTGGCATGTAGTATTTTCAGTTCTTTCTCTGCTTGACAAAAAGACGAGTGTCAAACAACCGAGGTGGTGAACGGGGGGATGACAGAGATGAATGAAAGAGAAAGAAAAAGAGCATAGAGGTGAGAGTGAAGAACATCATTGGGGAATTTTCCATTTGCTAAGAGGTTTCTCAGACTCAGACACCCATTTGAACAAACCCAGGCATGTGCAACTACATTTCTGTAAAATAATTTACACACTCGATTATCTTTAACACATGCTTGTGGCCCACATACTGGCAGGTATTGTGCTGTGTACAAACACACACTGACACACACAAGGTCCATAAATAAACCTGAAACACAGAAGAAGGACTAATGGAGACGAGGCAGAACAGATCAAAAGAGTTCTGATTCTGACACAATACGAGCTCTGGGATCGTCAAACAAACTTGTGCTCTGGTGCCATGAGCACACAACCAACAACACCAAGTATTCTGGAGCCTGACCCTCCTATTGCATTCTCTGTTTTCAGTCAGTGACCATCTGCTAGCTCGTGCACAACAATGAAGCCATCACCATGGCGACAGCGACCGTCATGAACCGAGCACGGTCCATTGACACAGCTCCATTACCAGAATGTTTATGTGAAGGCTATTTTACTCTAGCAGAGAATCCTCGACAGATGATTTTGCTCTGCATGCAGGTCTAGCCACGCTCCACTGGAACCTCAGCAGCCCAGACCAGTGTTGTGTCTTGCCAATCACAGCGCTCTATTGGGTTGGTGGGCGGGATGTTACTGCCACTGAGCAAAACTAAGATGGTGATGGCTCATTTGAAACGACTTTGGTCTCAACTTTGGACTATTTAGGCCTGTTTTTTTCTTTGAGTCAAGAGTAGACAAAGGTACTTAAGTCATTTATTTCGAAACATTATATATTCATGTCCTCCTCAACAGTGTACGGCGAACTGCCCCATTGACTGGCATCTGTAGCAATGAGTACGTCATGTTGTTCATTGTCCTATTGCATATGGAGACGACCACATTCCACCCATGACTGAGAGCCATCTATGGGTCGTGGCCAAAAATGATTTGACTGTGAGCGAACACAGCAGATAGTTTTAGCACTTTGAGTTGAGAGGCTAACATTTTCAGCAGAAACTTCAGCATATTTCTGACAGTGGCCTCTTTCGGAAAACAATGCCGCCAATTTGACACAAAGCTGAGTTGACATCAGGGAGCCTTTGGTCGTTCATAAGTGGTCAGACTGTGGCGGTAATGTGGCACGATCGTGTGCTTTTCACCAAAGATTCAGCGATGACAGGATAAAGGGGTGTGGGGGAGGTCTCTGTGCTGTCACAGACTTCCTTTTAGCTTGGACATAACTTGTGAATGAAGCCACAATGTCTTTCTGACCAGCCGTTCCTAAAGGTCTCTGTCCTCCACAGTCCCCGTGAACTGTCTGGTGATCTGAGCTTCAGCCCCAATGAAGAGAAGCTCCCAGAGCTCTGCATCGCTCCAATTTACCATCTCCGCTGATTCTGTTTAGAAAAGCAAAACTTACCCTGGCTTCACACTTCAAACGGCAGCGGAGGGGTTTACTCACGGATTTCAAAGCTGTCCTTTTCACACTGGGAGAGTTTTGGCCGCAGCCCGGCTTCCTCACTGTGCTCTTTCCTGGACTCGCGAGATCACACAATCCCTCAAGACTTCCAAGTTCACGGCTTGTTTATGCAATCCGCCATTAAACCAAAAAGAAGGAAATCACGTTTGATATCGCTGCTTGACGTCATATATGATGTTGTTTCTTTCCACCGCCAGGATTAAAGCCATGAAAAACACACCACTACACTTCTGGAATGATGCTGTGACTAAATAGGCCGTTGGGTCACACTGCAGTACTTTTATTTAAAAAATTACTGGGCATTTTACACTGAAACCGTGTGTGATTTCCTGTCTAACCCTAAACTGACATGTCCGAGAAGCGGCTTGCTGCAAAAATAGAGGCTGATCATTTGTTCAGCGGGTGCGGTGCACCGCTTCTTAGACTCGTCTGAAAATTGCTATGGCGCGGTTGTTTTTGAAACACTCCATAGACTATAATGGATTCTATTTGAAGCAGCGACGCTCCGTACCGCTGATGCTTCATTGTGAAACTGGGGTGATTGTCTATTTTTACTTTCATTTTCAATATATACAATACTTGTGATCATGACATCACCTTCTGTTGTGCCAAGGCATAATCTTCGTTCACGAGTAAGGCGTTGTGTTAATACTACTACCGAACATGGCAACGTGAAAGCCGCAAAACTGTCACATCGCCATGTTGCCACACTGATTTCATAAGACACACTGTGGCAGCAGTATTATGCTGATTTGCCAGCACAATGTCTTTTGAAAATGGCTAAAACAACTGCATAACGTGACAAGATGTGTGACACGGTCAAGATGTTGGTGGCCAAAGCCGCTTATTGGGCTTTAATTCAGCTCTTCAGAAATCTATAGGTCACATGACGGAGGGTTTGTCCAGTATGTTTAGTCATTGGTTGGCGCAAATCATAAGTGGCTGTTGCACTGCCTTTGCTGTCTGGTTTAATACGTTAAAACTTTAGACATTTCCACTCTCTTGACATTAAAGGTGCTTTTATAAGACACGCCATGCCGGTAAATCGGCATAATATTACTGCAATGGTATGTCTATAAACGCGCCATGCCAGCATGGCGTTGCGCGAATTTTGCGGCATTCGTTCCGCCTCGCTTGGTAGAAATATTGCCGCACGAGCCCCTCACCTCTGACAGCTAAACGCGTGTCAGCCCCGCTAATCCATTTGGAGCGACTGTGGATGGCCCACCCCGCAAAAGAGGATGGTCGCGTTAGTGATGTATACTGCGCGCAGAGTGCCGGCCGGGAGGGATATAAACACAGATAAACATGGCCTCTCACTAGTATCTTTCAACCACCTACAACATGGCAAACTGGACAGACGCGGAGACCACGGAGCTTTTGGCCGTGCGAGCAGACGAAAAGATTAGTCGCCTTTTTACGGGGACGGTGAGAGACAGCCAGGTGTTCGACAGAGAGGTGAAAACACCGGCTGAGCGGGGCAACAAGCGGGACAAAAAACAGGTCACATCAAAGCTAAAGGTCCTGAAAAAGAAATTCCATCAATCTGACGTGTCTTCCGTCTGACGCTGAATGCGCGACCCTGTACGTCACATGCGGGGGGGCCGCCCAGCGACCTCCCTCTATCCCGTCTTGGTTTGAGAGGTGCCAGATGGCCGTTTATTCTAGCTTCAGCTTTACTACGATAAATGCCAAAATAAACCCCAGGGTGCGCGGCAAATCCCGTTTTGCAAACGCTACGGTCCTGTAAAAACAGCTTAAGCGTGTCTGCTAACAGCTTAATGTTATGGTGTGTTACTTACCTGCACGCTGCTAATTATGTGACCTTGTGGTGTTGTCATCTATGCAACGATGAATACTGATGCCATGAAACTTGTTAAAATGAAAACTAAGCCATTGTCTTTACATTTCAATAACTCAGGATGATTTTAAAAGACCATGCTTGTTGTTTTAGAAGGTTATATCCGATCTTTTCCACCCGATTCCAATCATTTGAAAATCACATAATCAGATCGAAGGATCTCTACTCTTAACAGATGATTAATTGTTCCTAAACCTTCAAAGAAAATCAAAGTTGGTAGCTTGTTGTTATCTATACATTTGCTTTATGCTTTCAACCATTTCCTAGAGGTACTCAACCACAAACCCTAATGTGTCGCATGAGTGGGGCGCAGAGGTCTGGGGGCGGGGGTGGGTGTATACGTGCTGTGCTAAGCTCTCCCTCCCATTTGAGTGAACCTTCGTAGTACACCACTCTAGCTTAAAGAACAGCAGTTCAAGCTGCAGGCCGCCTCCTGTTGGGTAACTCTGAAACAAAGTAGGCTCACCACAGGACGCTGACTTGGTCTCCACCAGCTTCACCCTTCGTGTTTCATTTCGAATCCTGCTGTCCGTCGTGTCGACGAGCTGTGCGAGGTCATCGATGATTTCTGAGACAGACAGGAAAAGAAGACGTTTAAATTAATTAATTAGTTTCTGAATAACCATTTTTATACTTGGTGTTGTAAAAGTCGGCTAATTCAAAGGGCAGAGGTTATAAACGCACAGTAGAGGATTGTGTGCAAGTAATCATCCACCCTTTTGCAAGACTAGGCTTTAAAAAAATAGTTTTCAGGGTATCTGCAGGTTTAAGGGAGCCAAATTTAAGACTTTTTAAGATCTTTTTAAGGCCACTTTGACCAAATTTAAGCAATTTTTTAAATTAAATTTAAGCTATATTTTCCAGCTATTGGCTGGAACCGGTGCTAACCACGTCGCGAACGTGGGATTAGCCATCCAGTTACCATTAAATTTGCACTTCCCCATGGCGCAAGCTCCCACTAGCTTAACCAGCTAATGTGCTCATTTAAAAATAGCCCCCTTTCACAACCAACTGAATGTGTACGGTTCCGCTTACGCCAACATCATACACAAAAAATGCTGAACACTCGAAATTCACGAAAATTTCATAGAAATATTGGGTCGTTGGTAATTTAAGACCTTTGGAAACTGTATTTAAGGATTATTTGTCATTTTTAAGGATTTTCAAGGCCTTAAATTTGGAAAAGCTAATTTAAGACTTTTTAAGACTTATTAAAGACCCGCGGATACCCTGTTGATATTTATGTTTCTATTTTTCTGTATGTGTGTGTGTGTGTGTTCATATGTGTGTGTATTTGTGTACACATGTTTGGCCAGGGTCTCTAGAGCAGAACTTTAAGTCTTGAAGGTTGTCCAGATGAAGCCGCGTGATTTGCTTGGCTTGTGTTATCGTGGCATCTCCAGAGGTCTGGAGCCAGAAATAAAATCAGACAACTGCTGGAGGACGACCAAATTCTGACTATGGTATTGTTTTTAAAGAATGCCATTGTTTACGGATAATGCCAACCCATTTCACCCATGACTGCCGTATAAAATGGCTGATTTGACCACAAATTTAACCACATTTTTTACAAATCTGCTCAGAAGTATTAAGACGGGCGTATCAAAACAAAATTCTGCTAAAAACAACATCTTTTCCTGTAAAGGCCATCCATCAGTCTCTCTCAAGAGCCCAACTGTCACACTGACAGAAAACTATGAATAAACAGATGAAGAAACATGTGAGCAATTACATCCAGAGCAGCATGCCTCATTACTCCTGTTATAAATCAAGAGAGTCACTACAGAACACAGCTCCAGTGTAAAAAGTCTGTTTTTTATCTTAACTTTAGCAGTGATGACAGGTAATATCCAGTAGCCTTATAAAATAAAAAAGAAAAAGCAAAAATAAGACAAAGTTGCTAGCTTCTATATTCAGTTTCACAACAAAATCAGTGTGGTGACTTTTTAAAAATACATTTAAATGAGTGAAACTAGAACATATATACTTCTTAAGCCCTGGAATAATGGTTTATAGTTGCTTTAGATGGCAAAAGGGTCAAATAATCTGAATGAGTCATGGATTTGTTCTTCTAAATTTGTGCTAAATCACTAAATTCCCACAACTGTACTCAGCATCGTACTTGTCTCAGTGTCAAGAAAACACCTGAATAAGAGCGAGTCATCCCCCGTTGGTAAGACAGTTTGTGTTTAGACTGAAATGGACTAATTAAGATGCATGAATTCAAGGAAGGAAAGCAAAGCGTGTCTGTCTGGGGATGAAAAGCGTTGAAACAAGAAGACATGAGAGAGCCGTAAGCATGGCGCCCCTGGAGACTCCCACATCATCATCTGAGCATCAGGCAACAATTTAGAGTGAAGAAACTCTTCCTTTACTGTCAGGCAAAGGGTGTAGACACTGAGCCATTTCTGCCGCATGCCACTCCAACGAGTCATAAAGCATGATGCTAGTCAGCCGCTGCCAAGTTCCCTGATTCAGCTTTGGCCCAAATGAAACATCTCAATTCATTGATGAATTTCCAGCTGTGCCAAAACGCACTGGAGCTCGGACACAACCTCCAACAACAGCTGCAATGAAACTATTAATTTTTCACATCGAACATTTTGTTTGAAAATTTTTGATAATTATTAAGTTGTGTTCAACAAAATCCTAAAGTTTCCTTAAGGTGTCTTTTTCTTCCATCAATGGGCTTCTGGTGTTGCCTCTGATCTTCTGAAGCTCAAAGAAAAACATGTTTCAGGCTCAGCTTGATGAAAAATTCTACCACAGCTTAAAAAAATGAGTGTATGTGTTTAAGTTATCTTTTTTGATATCTTTATAACTTTGTCAAAAATACATTGCTATGAAAGGTGCACATCAAATGCTAAATGTGACCTAAAAATGTCTAAAATACATTAAAAGGTGAATTTTACTAGTGTTTATGGTCTTTTTGACATTTTCATAATCCTTCCACTAGCACCTATTTGGAACGTCAGAGTCAGAATCAGAAGGGGGTTTATTGCCATACATGTGAGAAATAACAACATTTGGAAATTGCAGCAGTACTTGGTGCAAAAAAAAAAAAAGAGATAAGCAAAATGATTCATATAGAGAAGCAATAATCAGAGGAACAACAAATATGTATAAGACAGTTGGTCACAAGTTCGCCTGCTCAGCCTCCCCACACCAAGAGGCCATTATGATCTACATGTTTTGAAGCCAAGGAGCAGCCTGGCCTGCCAGACTCATCCTCTGTTTAACTCTGCACAGAGAGAGTCTGGTAACACAGGCAGAGAGGCGCATGAGGGGCGGGACTAGGCAGCTCAAAAGTAACCAATCAGAAAAAAACTGAAATGCCGACTGTGCCGCGCAATGCTGTAGTTGTTTAACCCCCAAATTCCACTACCTCCGCTCCGACACGAACGCCGGAGCAAAATCGGTCCCGTTGTTGTCAATCAGAGCAATTCCACTACTGCGGCCGTGCTCCGGCAGCGCGGCGCAGTGCCCCGCCCTCTGTTCCGGCGTCCGGCAAAAATAGAATCAATCCTATTTTTGCCGGACGCCGGAGCACCTCCGCAGTAAATGGACAGAAATCACAACCGCCCAACAGGAAAAGGAGCAAGCACAACTTCCGTTTTTCACAATAAATCGATAAACAAAAGGCGTTTTTTTGTTTCATATGCACAGGTTTAACAACTTTTAACAACTATCAATGGCGGCTGAACTTTAAATGCACAAAAATAAGCCATAAATACACTTTCTACTATCAAAGTAGTCACACTCAGTTGATCCAAACACTGCCGATCTCTCAACACAAATGATGGGCAGATTAAACAGTTCATGCCGATGCTTCTCCCACACAACGGGTGTTTGGATCTAACTTCCGCGTTTATTGCTCGGACTGTATCGCAAGATCTCGAAAATCCCGCGCATGCTTGTTTGCCCACCTCAGGTCTCCGCACCGGAGCGGAGCCGTTGTAGAGCGGGTACCAGTAAAAATTGAGTTCGGAAGCGAGCGGCTGTGGAAGGCGGGGGCGGACCGGAGCGGAGCGGAGCGGAGCGGAACGGAGGTAGTGGAATTTGGGGGTAACTGTAATGAAAAAGGCATCTGGCAACGGTGCAAACATCTTTTTTTTTTCAGAAGAAAGGCTTTTAGCGCTTCTACTTGTTGTTATTTTAAAGACATTCAAGTCATTTAGAACAGAGGAAAGAGCCACAGCAAACTCCGCTTCCGTCGCCATATTTATGAGAAACTCGGCGTTATGCCGTGTGATGTACGCTACTAAGTGCTGATTGGCTCGGTTAGAATTCTCACAGGGTGGGGTTATTTGAATAGGAGAGCTCCCAGACCCTTTCTCTGTGCAGAATTAAACAGAGGAAGATTTGGCAGGCCAGGCTGAAGGAGTGGCTAAGATTGCAGTTCCACCCTCATCCGCTAGGGGCAAATCATCATTGACTCCCATGTTAAAAATGTCCGTTTTACAGCTGAAATAAACATGTTTACAGCCTGGTTCAACATTTTAGGTTTAATAGATCTAGTTTATATTCGTGACAACTGTGATGGGGGTGAATTTTCTTTAACTTTTCTGTTTAAGTGTATTTAAATGCTTAAAATTCTGAATAATTAATGAGCATCAGAGCCATGTGTATTCAGAGCTAGCTCCGGGGAAAGGCCTCAGCCTGACATTAATAGATGTTCAGCCATTTTGACTCTCTGAACTTCATTTTTGTCTGTTTGTGTTTGTCCATATTATTCTATGATTAAAAACCAAAGAGGGCAAGCTGTGGTTATTGACTGCACTAACATATCATCCAAGCAGTTTCTGCTTCTTCTTTATCAGTAAGTAAAATTATATTTCTGGTTCGTTGGTTGAATGGGGGAAATGCTGTGTCATTTAACTGCTTGGTCAAACATGTTAGTCTGGCTGCTGGCTGGATAAGAAACTTGAGCGGATGCCAGTCTTCTGTCTCCCGCCCGAGAAGAGTTGCTAGAACAGGCGGCTGGCTGCTCCCATTTCCAGGGGCAGCCAATGAACGGACTGGCTCCAATGCGAGGCTGTAGTCAGGCTGGTCACTTGTGGATTTCTGAGGGAGATCACAGAAACACTGCAGCTCTTTTAGTTGATGCTGCTTCACTTTTGAGTCACTCAACCACATTTTTCTCGCTAATTGTTTGCTGGTTGAATGGTGAAAATTCTACCTTAACAATGCTTGGTCTAAGATGGGTTGAAATCGAATGAAATATAATGTGTTGGTGTGGTTGCTGGGTATCTGACCGAGGATAGCAAAGGCTATCGGGCTTCGCTGGTCAACCTTTGTGAAAGACACGCGAGTCTGCCATTTTCGACGCTCTCGTCTCTGGTGGGGAGCACGACACGGAGCCATAAGCAGAGTCAATGCTCCCAGAGAACCGTGCGTTAAGAACGGTGGACTCACGAATCTTTGACTGCGGTGGACCAGCAAAACCCAATGTCCTCGGTCAGCTTACCCAACTGTAATTTTGTTACTCAGCAAGCTGGAGGTGCCTTCATGTTGGAGTCGCTCTACTGCGTTTTTCTTGCTAAAAAGGCTCAGTAAAACTCAGTTAGC